CAAAATACTTTAAATATCTATACAACTCTCTTGTAAATGTCAATGTGTATATGTAGAAAACAAGGTGATTGTCAAATATGCATCCTCATAAACTAATGTTATGTGAGAAAGCTTTGTTTCATTTGGACCCTCTTCATACAAATTCCCCTACTAAACTTTGTCGTGTTGTTCATAACTCAAGCGTAACATTCAATATGTAAAAGTCATGAAAAAAATATGAATATTGGTGTGATGTTTTAGTTTAACCCCGTAAAATATGCCAAAACAGTGTTTACAGAAGACTGAAACTTTAAAAAAAATTTGGAGGGTGACTCTCCCACACTCTCCCTATCGCGCTACATCGGCGCTACAGATTGTCAACATTTTATATAATTTCATTCGCGGACCCATCAATATATATTTCACGGCTACGCCTCTGATTGCAGGACATATGAATACCTTAACATTCATATTTAAGAGGGGATCACGTGGCTAAGTGGGTAAGGCGCTGGCTCGCTAGCCTGGAGGTCGGGTGTTCGATCCCTGCATTGGCCGAGAAAGTTCATCTCGATTTTCCGGCGTGGTTTCCCCTTGTCAGTGATGCAGAACGGAGGGCCTGACAAGGACAGCTGCCTAGTCGTTCGGATGGTACGAAAAACCGAGGTCCCGTGTACACATTGGCGTGCACGTAAACAATCCCTTGGCAGTTGGAATTCGATATAAGAGTAGGCCGTAGCGCCGCTGCCCGGGCAAAATTTCCCTCATAGCACACTGTATGGCGTATGCCCGTCTTCAATTAGCCCAGGTTAGGTGCAGAAGAGTAGGACGTTAAACCCTATTTCATTTCATATTTAAGATCAACTATGCTTTACTTCAGAATTAGTAAATGATTAAAGTCTGAAAATAGCCACACCTGACAGACCTACTGCCAGATTGTCTGAAATTGGGGAAATTGGTCAAATGTGCCAAAAACCGGCCCAACAAAGAATAGTCTTTCATAGTTTATGTGGGCTGTTGTGGTCCACCAGCGCCACACCTACTTCTCCGCGGATACTGTTTCTCTGGCCAAAGTTTCAATTGTTTTTACATATTCCCTATTTTTTGTACTGATGTCATGAAACATAACTACTTGTTTACTCTTAAATGTCTAAACCCGAACCTGCTAACCTGTGCATTAAGCTAAACAGAGAGATAGCTTGGCCTTGGGTTTCGGAAGCCAAGGCGAATTAGTAGAATATGTTGGAAGATAAACACCTGATACATTAATGAATCCATAAATGTTCTTTGCATGATTACCACACATGATTACAGATTGAGAATAAATGGAGATCCAGGATTACTTAAATGTCATAAAGTTCGTTTAAAAAATAAAACAGGCAGAAATAACAGGCAAGCCTCGAGATTCTGTCCCATAACTTATCCTCTCGTTCACGAGAATTTGCCCCCATTTGCCATGACATTCCAGTCCCAAACAATTAAAAACTCAGTTACATATTATACTTTGCTATCTGAAATGTTTTCGCGCCTACGACGCTCAATTCCATTATTGCATCATTCTTGCACTCCTCTGTAATCTTATTCTATCTCAGCGCTATCATATTCACGGTTATGGTGAACCGCCCAGTTAGTACCGCTAGTGCGTGGGTAATGAGGCGACAAACTGTACAAATGTTCTGTCAACTGTTACAAAAAAGGCGGATCTTAAGATTCTGTCACATTGACTCCTATTTCTGATCCACCCGTTCACAAGAAGTTGCTCGAAATGGCCTCAAAAGCTAGGATACTGAATCAATTTTCCAAAATTTTCTCATGAACTTGATGTTAACTTGAATAAAACTTCTTTCTAGCGAGGTAACGATCGGCGAAAAACTGTATAGGCAATACGATCTATGTTCTTCCGGGATGCTCAGTGCTATAGCGCGTATTTTGTTGACACTCATTGTGGTTTGGGATTGTGGATGGCGCCATGGATTTGGAACCGCCCCCTATTCTCAGCTTCTAGATGAGATCCGCTACTGTTTTAAACAATGTAGACTAATGCTGTGCCTGGGGGGGGGGGGCCTCCACGACTGGGTCCTAAAACTTAAGTTTCATATTTTATTAATGAATATACTGCTACTACGGACAGCTAGTGTCAACCATCTTCAGTACTTTGGAAGATATGGGCAATAAAGGGTGCCCCGTGGTTGTGGATTAATTTTGTCTAATCTTCTTAGTGCTATGTAATTCTACAGATCCTTACACAATTCCGTCTTATGCAGAACTATCATTCTGTTCGTTCAATGACTCATTGTTTTAATTTTTTATTTTCTATTGTCGATCTGGGTTGGGTGGTCGAACGGTTTAATTTATTTAATTAATAAAGTGGCGTGGTTTCGATTTCCCGCTTGTACGTAACAAAGTGTAGGGGTGCCTGTTCAACCTCGTGGATTTTGCCCGGTGTCCTTCCTCAGCTGGCAAGCGAAATTATTGAAATAGAATTTAATCGTGTTAGTTCCGAAATTATCTAGATTCATTATATCATTAACTTGACTAAGTTCGATGATGAGAATTTTCTGCTTAAGCTGAGGAGAGATAAGCAATTTGATTAGTCAAGACTTTGGAACAGAACAATTCAGCTTTTAATTGAGGTAGAATTTTTAAACTTGATGTAGATGTTCATTAGGTGATTGTCTTGACTGAGTTCAATGATTAACATTTCAAGCTAAAACTAAGCAGAGCTAAGCAATTTCATTGGTGAATGGTTTAGGACAAGATAACTTTGAATCTATCCGATAGAGAGTGATCAAACTTAGTGTATAGTTGATAATCAGTTTGATTGCTTGATACTTTTAAAGATAGGTTGCCAGGCAACGAAACATACGCCCACTGCAGCTATATCGTCCGGGCAGTCAACAAGAGTTGTCGCATATTTTTACTTTTTTCTGTAATGAAACATTTATAATACATTAAAATCTGATTGAGAGTAACAACTCATTAAGTAATTATCAGAACACAATTAGAATTTGTTCGGTTTTTATAAAGTTCTGCCCCATGCTAACGTTTAGTATACGAAACTTTTAACATCATGGATTTAGCTGTTCAAGTCATAAAGATTCATTGAAAATTAATATACTTGTTCGTCTCAAGACCTTAAACACTGTGTATAAATTTTAAGTCAATCGGATATTAACTTTACCCTCTAGAGCGTCCACAAGATTTTTCGAAGGGATCAAGGGCCATAACTCTAGCTGTAATTATCGGAAATCGCTGAAAATCAATAGGATTCTTCGTCTCATGACCTTAAACACTGTGTATAAATTTTAAGTCAATCGGATATTAACTTTACCCTCTAGAGCGTCCACAAGATTTTTCGAAGTGATCAAAGGCCATAACTCTAGCTGTAATTATCGGAAATCGCTAAAAATCAATAGGCTTCTTCGTCTCTTGACCTTAAACACTGTGCATAAATTTAAAGTCAATTGGATATTAACTTTGACCTCTAGAACGTCCACAAGATTTTTTGAAGTGATCAAGGGTCATAACTCTGGCAGTAATTATCGAAAATCGTTGAAAATCAATAGGCTTCTTCGTCTCATGACCTTAAACACTGTGTATAAATTTAAAGTCAATCGGATATTAACTTTGACCTTTAGAGCGTCCACAAGATTTTTCAAAGTGATCAAGGGCCATAACTCTGGCAGTAATTATCGAAAATCGCTGAAAATGAATAGACTTCTTCGTCTCATGACCTTAAACACTGTGTATGAATTTAAAGTCAATCGGATATTAACTTTAGATTCTAGAGCGTCCACAAGATTTTTTGAAGTGATCAAGGGCCATAACTCTGGCAGTTATTATCGGAAATCGCTGAAAATCAATAGGCTTCTTCGCCTCATGACCTTAAACACTGTGTATAAATTTAAAGTCAATCGGATATTAACTTTATCCTCTACATCGTCCACAAGATTTTTTGAAGTGATCAAGGGCCATAACTCTGGCAGTAATTATCGGAAATCGCTGAAAATCAATAGGCTTCTTCGTCTCATGGCCTTAAACACTGTATATAAATTTAAAGTCAATCGGATATTAACTTTAACCTCTACAGCGTCCACAAGCAATTGTGGAGGCCGGTGTTCGGACGGACTGACGGGGGCGACGACAATATATGACCACATTTCAATGTGGGCGTATAAAAATAATATTTGTGATAAATAAAAATGTGTCATTTATTTTTGGGTTGTTTTAACTGTTTTGACGACTGTGTGGACAACTTGAACATGAAATGAAATGAGCTGAACTGTAGGATAACCTATTGACCTGTACTAGCCATAGTTTTTTGGACCTGGCTTCACCCAGTTTCCGCCTCTATTTTTTTTAACTGGACATACACATAAAATCTTCTACTTAAACGTCGGTTTTTGTCTTTCTTTGCTGGTTCAGTGTTTCTTCCCAATAGTTCTGGAAGATGGAATACCTTCCAGAACCTATAATAGCTAATAAATACATGTGTATCTGATCAACCACTAGATCTATATTCAATTAGGGATATTGTCACCCTTTTCTGTGTATATATGATTTGGTAAATACAATTGACGCTATTTTAACCAGACTTAATACTCCTTGCCACTGAAAAGGGTGACAATTAGTGTTAAAGGAGTGACAAAAATGAAATGAAATTTAACACCTTACTTACATGAATCAACATATAATGAAGATGGTCATACGCAATACAGTGTAATATTAGGGAAATTTTGCCCAGACAGTGGCGCTACAGCCTACTCTTATTTCGAATTCCAACTGTTAAGGGATCGTTTATGTACACGCAAATCCCATCCTAACACCGGATGCTGTCATTGCCAAACCCTTTGTCCTCCATCCACTGACAATGTGAAACCACGCTTAAAAATTCTGGGGAACATTCCTGACTAACACCATGAACGAACCCTGGACCTACTGGTTAGTGAGCCAGCGCCTTGGCACTAAGCCACCATGGCTCCCCAAAAATATACAAGTTACATATAAGAAGATTTGACCAATAATTGTCTCAACATTTATCTTTATTTACACTTTATACAAAATATTTTATTTACATTTTTAACAAAAATATCTTTTATCAAAATCTTTTGATAACTATCTGCATAAACATTAATCTGCACTAAAATTACAAGCTGGGATAGAGAGAATTATTCAAGTAACATTACACAACATAATAGCACCTAGATTACATATATTTCTTATCTTTGAATCATACACGCCTCATCATTTCTTAAATACAATGTTTAAAAACGCCAATACCTAAGTTAGTTGGCAACCAAAAAAAATCAACTCTTGATGTTAAAGAGAGATAAACAATGTGCATTATTAGAGAATAATTAAACTGTTAGTAACTGTCAAATCAACGATGATTAAAGTCTAATGACGATAATTTATCCTGATAGCTATAATTACATTTTTTAATATAGTGAGTAACATTTTTGGGAAACATAATTTGAGAGGGTTGTATGTACAGGAGCTTAAATTCTTATAATTTCTAAATTAATATGTATATTTAACAGTTTGAGTAAAAGCCAAATAATTAGACTGACAAAACATTATTCTGGTTCATTATTACATGTACTTTAATGAACAACTGTTATTAACAAGAATATAAGCAATGATGTGTCCATCCTTTAAACACATTGACAACAAAAATCCCAGTAATGTGCTGGCCTTAATTTTTCAAATTCATGGCATATTTCATATTTGGTTAAATTTTAAAAATCAGAAAAATGTAGGAGTATTCATAGACGGTCTAATTATTCATCAGAACAAATCCAAACTATTTCTTTTAATTTAATTGATCTTTCTTTAATTAAATATATAGGCCATTTTTCACTCAACTAATCCTGGAAATTTACACAAATTACAAGAAACATTAATATATCCAATCATGTTATTTTTAACCATTGTCTTGTTCCACACAAAGAATGTTGGTCCATCCATGGTGTTTACCAATTATTCTCCATCCACAAACAAATATTTTATTCCTTCTATTTTCTCTAATCCACTTCTCACACAAAGTATTTCAATCAATCAATCAAGTCTATTTTCTCCACTTTTCCCCACCTTTATATGTCGTCATGGGTCGTCCGCTTACACCACAGGTTCCGACACCTACTTTACCCTGTACGTGGTCAGATGTAGCAAAGATACTCTTCTTGACTTTACCTTTACTAGTTTTAGAAAATGTCTGAAATAAAAAAATACAAAACATGGTTGTAAAGAACATGGATGCCACATGGTTTAATGTCCACTTGACACAAAGCCAGTCTTTTTGGACTAACATATGTACAATTTTATTTCAATAATTAACTGGGAGGAAACTGGAGGACCCAGAGAAAACCAATGAGGTTGGGCAGGCAACCCTACTCCCTAGTCATGTACAAGCTTGGGATTAAAATCACACTGTGACACTAATGACAGACCTTCTGATTTAATGTGCACGTTAGACCACCCAACTGCATTCTATAAGTAATAAAAACATTTATAAGTGTCCAAATAAAAAATAAGATTGGAAATAAAGTGGAAAGACGAATGTACACATGAAATTATTGTTGTGTGTATAAAGCTTTATAAAAGATTGTTTAGATCTGCTCCAGAAAAAAAGACAGCCCTAGATGGAGACTAGGTTTCAACTTGTATCCAAGGAAACAACATTAACCCCACCAGATTAGACTCAAATTTAATTTTTCCATGGAAACCGAAATAACGAAAATCCCAAAATTACTAAATAGCAAAAGACATCACTTAACAACAGCATAGTGGCTAATGAAATTTTATCTATAATTGAAATAAAATGATTGCCAGCTTGTGGTCCTTTCAAATTTGGAAAAGTTTTTTTTCACCTTTGCATTAAAAGACAGCCATTTATTTTTCTCCGATTCTCGTTCTTCCTCTAACTGTCTCATTCGTTGAGCTTTTTTCTGATTTTTCTTTCTTTTATATTCTCTCTGTTCAGCAATCAAATCTTTTCTATAAAACAATTTATTAAACATACATTATGCAAGAACTAAATCTGCCTATTGCAGGTCTTTTTTTAGGCCTGAAATGTTATATAAACTATTAATTGACATTTATTAAGATGAAAATACCTTAATCAACCCTTGATGCCATCTTATGTGTCAGATTTTCACTGGATTTGAATCCGATCTGCTGCTCATAGCTCATTGATGATGTTTTTTTATCGTACCGACTTGATGATTGAGGCTAGGCCTAAAATTCAATCCCTAATATCTTGGTTTAGAGTGGATCAATTTGACTGAAATTTTCAGCATATTCCCTTTACATTACCTAGTTTTTAACTATTAGCTCTTTATCTAATCTTCCATAATGCCAAAAAAATTAATGTATGGGAGGTAACTCCTCCATGTATCTTGATTGTCTCCCCTTAGACCACATATTGGTAAGCTATCAGACTTTTTCTAAAAAGCAATTCATACAGGAACAATAAATACGCATTTCTTGTATGGGAGGTAACTCATCACTACTTCTAGGTTGTCTCCCCTTAGACCACATAGGATACTCTTCAACTGCCAGTTGGAATTTGATGAAGAAATGGCAAAAATTCTGCAGTCAGAGCAAAATTTTTTTTTATTGTTTAAATGGCATTTAGTGCTTGAACGCATTAAAATAAACACATCAGTTCTATTCTATTAATCATTGTACATTAGTCCTCTAGGTGCAGAGAAGTAGAATGTTAAAGTCCATTTCTTTTCTTTTCATTTTGCTAACATACATACATAACATATACTTTCCTTGTTAGCTCTGTAAATGTTGTCGTCTAGTAGGCTGATGCAACTAGATTCCAAGAGAGAACGCTCTATAACAACAAAAAAGTGACCATAACTATATAATCATATAAATATATATTACTTTGATTTGTTCTTCTTGTTATCATGTGCATCAGATTTACTTCCTCCTGATCCTATGTCTTGATCAACAGGTCGTAACAGATTTATCTGAAATTGAAATATAAAAAAACCCATGAAAATTTGTCATCGTTGACAGTTGTGTTGATTGCAAAACATAACCCTTCTACCAGGGTGACCTTTGGTTCCACAGATTTTTGTACTATAGTCGAACTATCTGCATGTGAATGATATTTGGTTTGACCTATGGTCGTGAACAGCTATACCATGCGATAGAGCACGGTCAGGATAGTTCAAAGATGGCTGACAAGACTGACACTTGAGTAGATTTGTTTGAAAAATATCATAAAATTGTTGATTGTAGTGGCGTTAGTTACACCATATTATAGGGTTCATGTTAACACCCAAAAGTTAGGTCGCCCAGGAAAGATATATTAGCTACCAAAAACATATCTTTTGAGACAATTCAAAGGAAACTTTTTTGACAGTCTGACCATTTTATCATAGTAGCCATTTTGTATTGCTAACGTTTCCTGTGACACCAGGTTAAAGATTACAGCTCATAATTAGCATGTACAGAGATTTCATTCCACAATAAAACTTTGGTACATGACATGTTAGATGTAAAGGCAGTATTTTAGATTTGCAAATTTTGCTTAAGGTTTGTTGTTTTAAACAATAGACATTTTACTTTGTACTTGGTTATTTAGAACCTTGAGCCCCAAAGTAATACATAACATCAACTGATACTTTACATTAGTTTTATAAATGTTTTTACCATATTTCTTATGTACAATGTTGCCCCAACATTCATACCTGTATTTTATCGCTAAGATGATAAAAGAGAAGCACAAACATCCTAAAGCTGCGTTTACACGATACAACCAATCCATACAAACTCATTAGACAAATGGTCGGATGGACAGCTTGTTGTATCGATAGGATGAGTTCTATTCTGATCCGACCAACTGATGCAATAGCCAATCAAATTGCGCTATATTAGACATGTCATTATGGTGTATGATGTCATATCTGACTTGGCAAATCCTGATTATAGATGTATTGTTCTGTACTTTGACGTTCTTTAAAATGAATTCTAAACCTATCCGCGACTTTGTGGAACCACTGGCATCAAAACTATACGAAGACGGAGATGAGACGTGTCGCCTTACTGCCATTTATTGAGTTACTAAGAAGCAACACAATGGTGCCTTACAACGAATAGAACCATTGTATCGTGTAAACAGTCGCCCAATATGTCTGACAAGTGTATGGATTGGTTGTATCGTGTAAATGCCGCTTAACCAAGCAAAACCAGATTTAGACATGGTGAGACCCTAATGGAAAACTATAGAGCCAAATTTGTTTTGAGTTAACGGAGAATAAGGCTACTAAATATTTTGTTTACATGTATGGTAAATTGGTAATTAAACATACATTATGCAAGAGCTAAATCTGCCTATTGTAGGTCTTTCTTTAGGCCTTAAATGTTATATTTACAATTAATTAGACATTCATTAACATGACGAGACCACAATCAACTCTCAATGCCATCTGATGGGTACGATTTTAAATAGATTTGAATCTGATCTGCGATTCAACGGCTGCTCAGGATAATCAAGACTTTGTTTATTATTGAAACAACGATAACAATGACAATCCAGGCCACGGTGCTTTTGAAATTCGATGTTCTTGCCTCAGAGTGAAGTAATTTGACTGCAATTTTCAGCATATTCTCTTTACATTTTCTATTTTTAAACTACTTATTATAGCGAGAACTATCAGCTCTTTACCTAATCGTCCAAAATGTCGCTTTAATGTCGATTTAATTAGATTTTTACAGATTGTGATGTCCCAAGCTGTACAAGGTGGATATAATTATAAATCATCTGTTACCTGTGTAATATCTGTATTACCATACTCTACAAATGTTATAGTACATGATCCATTATCTAATATTTCTTCTATAACTCCTTCATAATGTCTAAAAGTATAACAATTACAGTCTGTACATTACATAGCATTATCATGATATATAATCAGAGCAGTCCTAATATAGGAAATGAAATGGAGTTTAAAGTATTACTGTTCTGCTCCGACAGGGCTAATGAAGATGGGCATCTGCCATACAGTGTGCTATGAGGGAAATTTTGCCCAGACAGCGGCACTGTGGCCTACTCTTATATCAAATTCGAACTTCCGAAGGATCTTTTATGTGCATGCCAATGCATACATAGGACCTCAGTTTTTTGTCCCATCCAAAAAACTACACAGCTGTTCTTGTTGGGCCCGCCATCCTGCATCACTGACAAGTGGAAACCACGTCAGAAAATCGCAATGAACTTTCTCAGCCAATGCCGGGATCGACCATGCAAACTCCATGCTAAATGTAGCGAGCCAGCGTAGCCACAATGGCTCCAGTTCTAATAAACAAATGACAGTAGTCATAAAATACAAATGAGAATTGTCCTAATACATAAATGAGAGTTGTCCTAATATATATCACTGGGGCAATAGTTCTTATATACAAATAAAAGCAGTCCTAATAAAAAACAATATGCAACAAAAACTGTTACTCCATGAATTGGGGTCATCATTTAGACTTGGATTTCAGAAATAAAATCTACTGTTAGGTTTATGAAACTTTGTGACTAGACGTTATTTGGTGTAATATAAATTGGAGTCTGTAGTCACAGACAGTTTTTAATTTTGTCGCAATTAAATGACAAAAAATTACACCTTGGGAGCTTGTTTCATCTTTTTAGCAGACGAATCCATTATCCTCAGTTGCTGGTTGTATTCACGAATTTGCGATTTATCCAGAAAAACTCTGCAGTTACTGGATTTCATGCGTTCTATAAATGTATTCCTACATTACATCAGTACAAGCCCATAGGACAAAGAGATTTTAAATGAATTTTCCATCTTTACTTACTGTCCATCTTCTGAATAAGGGGCATAACACTTGTCACCAACAGACCAATTGTGTTGTGTTGCTAAAGAAGACGCTTCCCCTTCTGGTTGAGATGTGCTGTCATCTGCCTCTGCAGCAACCATCTGTCCACTTATCAGATCGATTGTTAGATCTATAACTTCCTGTTAACGACACACAAATACAAGACTTTAGAATATAATCGCATACAATTTTTAAACATTTTTTGGGCGAGACCAAACAAAACTTTTGTTCTATGGATTTTTCTCCCAATTTCTAAGGTCTTCAATATTTTGTTAACTTTGTTTTTTGTAATCTTTTTGTTCAACCTATTTTCCATTCCAGATTTGGGGGTTTTAATATTGTGTCTTTTCAAAATTTCCTTGTTATGATGTTTACTAACCCAATTTACCCAACAAATGCTAATTGTATCCACTGTAGTACTACACACAAGCCAGATTGTTACTGTACCTTATATTTCAAGAGTCAAAAATATATACTATTTCATTCCATACCAATTGTTATTATTATATAACTAAACACAGAACAGTATAAAACACCAACTAAAGGTGGCCTAGCTGTACAGAGGAAATAGTACAAATGCAATTTAAATTGTCTCTATTTGTCTAAGAGATATAAACATGTTGTGAAATAAATAGAAACCATAGTAAACTTTCAATGGTCATAATTTAACTTAGATTTGATCGTTTTGAATAATTTTTTAGCAAAAATGATTTTAATAATAGTTCAATGTGAATTCCAATAATCAAAACAGTTAATACTATACTGTATGTGGTAAGCAGCAATGTTTACGACACATGTCGAAACATGATTCCTAAAGGAATACTGACTAATTAATTTATTTGTGACTGATTTGGTATTTGATGTTATAAGTTTGTAATCATTTTTAAAGTTGTCAAACATTTTTTTTCTAAAATCAATACAAATTACAACAAAAATTTGTTAGCTTATTGCCACTAAAGGTTTTGGTGTGAAAAATCCATAGCAAAAATTCCCTTCACCACTAATCCTAATTAATGGGTTAAAGTCTGCTTCCACCGAGGGTGATATTGCAGACAAAGAACTACAAGTATTCAAAATCGGCCAGGTGTACTTAGGCTTTTTTGTCTTCGACAAGTATGGATAAATGCACAGTACTACAATTTTTGACCTGCTGTAACATACATGAGTACCAGCATATGAGGTAGAATATTGAAGTTTTCTGAATTAACTAATAGGGTGGAAAAGAATCAAATGGGTCAAATTTATTTTTTCAGTGAGAAATATTAAATTGTTGTGTTCCCTATATAGGCCCTTAAACTCTTATGGGCATAAACAATTGCTTAAATTCAACTTTGAAATTACCAATTAATTATGTGCATTTTCATTTATTACAAAACTCTTCAGAACAAAAATGGCCATGTTTTTATTCAAACCTTCTTGCAAGATTTTCACTCACTGATGCTATCACTATGGATACCGAGGGAGTCTCCTTGACAACCCTCTCGATGGTTACCAAGTTGAAGACATTGTAACCAGGCAACCCTGAGTGAAACCAGGCTGTACTTACTCTGTTTGTTGTCCCAATTTTTATAGATTGTGATAATCACTTGACAAACTTGATCTCTAAAAATAACAAGTCTAAAATGACATTAATTTCAATTTGTTTTTTTTTTACACAAATTAAAAAATTCTTGATGTTCTTTTTTATTTCCTACTAATATTGAACAGTTTTGACTGATATCAAATCACATAAAGGCAAGAAATTTTGATTGATTTAGTAATGTAGTATGTACATGTATAAGTCAAAACTAATTTTATCCGTCAGACATTAAATCTGAAAATATGCGAGGCAATCAAACTGTCTTAATGGTTTACCCCATATCTTATGGTAAACTCCATGACTATGGTTTCATGTGCAATGTAAGGAGAAGAATTTTGCTGCAACAGCAGCATTTCAATGTCCGTCTAAGAAGTGCCACCCACTGATAAATGAGAACCGGGCTTGAAAAATCAAAATATTCTTGCCCAGATTCGAACCTGGAAGATTCTAGATGAGAAGCAAGTGCTCAACCACAAGGTGAATTTTCCAAATAGAAAAAGAAGGAAACATACACTTAGTCTTTACATTTGTATTCCATAGGGAAACTACTTTTGTATTAAACTGAACGGTGCTTTATTGTTTAAAAGATTTGTACGCATTTTGATAATAAAATAAAAGTCAACAAACCTGTAGATCACTCTGTAGTTTTTGTAAATCTTCATTATCTGGATCAGTTGTTAAAGATGCTTCAACCTGAAAAAAAGACAAACGAGACTGGTGAAATATTTGCCAGAGAGTTTCTTTGATTATCTCTTGCAGTCATTGCAGTTGTAGGTATTGTGTATTGATATACATGAAGGACTTTACATGTATCTAATATGGGTAACACAATCCACAATTATTTCAACTGATGTCACAATAATTTATATTGATTTTTGATAATTTACCGTTTTATGCCAAACTGTCACTTTTAATTTAAAACAGTTGTGTCTAAATGCCACTCAAAATGGGATTTCCACTCAAGTTAGGAAGTTGTAACCAAGGACACTAATTAAAATGGCTACTGCCAGTAGCTCTGAAATCTAGTTGATTGGATTACCAGCCTTACATTGTGAGTCATTAAATTATTTTAGCATATTCATGAACAAAAATGGTTTGTCAGTTGGTAACGATGTCATAGCTAATTTCATAGAGAAATACGTTATCAAACGGGTCATGGTATTTCCTGAGGAATCACATTATGATTATGAAAGGGTTGCAAAGGACAGCAAATTTCAAAATAGGACCAACATGTGATGTATTGTCAGTATTGACATGTACATGTATACTACTAGAAAGCACACATTAGACCACTTGACCATGTAACCTCATGATTGACGAAATGGGGTTTAACAGCCTACATGTAGGCCTACTTACTGCTGGGCTAATGAATACGGGTGTACACCATACAGTGTGCTTTGGGGGAATTTTACCCGGACAATGGCCTATTCTTATAATATATCGAATTCCAACTACCAAGGAATCTTTTATGGCTTTGCCTGCCCCAGGTAGATTCAAATTCTTTGCAGATTCCATTTTTTGTTCCCTGGTTACCTAAATTTAATTCGTCTTCGTATCGCTGACATTTTTAAATTTGTGTGTTGAACTATATTAAGACTGGCGGGGATATATTTTTAATAGCATGTGATGTCGCTCATACTGACTCTAGTGAGTTAAGCAGGGTCACTGGTCTGGTACCTCACTAAAATGTTCCTTTACATTGTTGTACAGGCATTCACAGATACTGACACACGATCGTTTAGGCTAAACTTTAGCAGTAAAAAGTTGCCCAGTAAAATTTACTAAGAAGACTTGACTAGGAGTAGGGGTTTCAGGTTTAATATCAATCTCAATATCTGCAAAGATTCAGGCTCAAAAACTATCGAAATGTAAGCGAAATTACCGTTTATTTACAGGAGACACTCGCGAGAAAATACCGAGCTCTGACATCATGCGGCCGGGGATTTTCCATTGCTGCGACTCACTTCATTGGTGAATCCGCACATTAGTTTCTGGGAGATTTTCATATAGAACCAATCAAACGATAGATAACATTTTTGTGATTGTTATGGAGCGTGATAAGCTGAGATCCGACGATTACAGCTGTAGAAAACGGGATTTATGTGTTATGGTGCCATGCCACGCATTGACTGGTATAGAGCATTTTGATTACATTATTGATGTCGATCTCAGATTTTAAAATTCCATAACTTTGGATCTAATTAGAATATTTTGATGAAATAAAAAAAATTTGGGTAGCATTTTATGTATATTTTCACAAAATATTTAAAAAAAATTTTTTTCTGTCATTTGAAACTTTGACCTGAAACCCTTACTACAGTACTAGGAGTCCTAAAGGTCTGAATGTACATATTGACACTATGGACCTTTATACTAGTTTATAATAAGCAAAAGGCAGAACTACTACAATACGTCAATTAGTGTTGTCACGATTACAAAATTCTTGAATCGGTTAATCAGCTAGCCAAAATTCGTATTGGTGCCGATTAATCGGATGCCGTATAAATTCTATAATAATGTAAAATAAATGTTTCTTTCCTTGGCTAATAATGTCATTGTCTGTACTGTGTTACAGGGGTTTTCCCTTGTGATTGTTGATATGCATGAGCACTGAATAGCTGACCGTATATTATTTTAATACATTTCTTTGGGTTTGAGATAAAGAGATGTTGGAATACATTTTTTAAATTGGCAATAAACAACATGTACCAAGTCATTAGTTTACGCATTGGACTGAGTAAGAGTAGACATCCCCGCGTTCTGACTTACCCCCACAGCTTTAACTGCTAATTAAAAATCCAATACTGGCAATAGATTACAATTCACTAGTACAACAATTCCCGTACATAATGTTTTAACATATATAGCGATAATCATATTGACGGAAAAAAACAAGAGAACCCGCACAAGACGGTACAAATAAAGACCATGTGTCTTTAAAAAAGGCGGCAACATATGCCGAGGGAGGAGAAAAGAAGAGCCTCCTGACTGGTAATGTCCGGTTTGGGAACTGTTTATTCGCGTCTCGGACACAGTTACGTCACATTCTGATTATGAATTAAATAACAAAATACAACTGGATTTAAAATTATTTTATACATGAGGAATTTGTGAGGGAATCTTTCGATTATATTGTTGGAGAATTGTCTTCTTTCAAAACTATTACTTTATCAAAATTACATTGGTTGTTTATCGCTTGTAACATCGCCAACTTCCCCCTCTTGTGCGGCATGCATTCAGTCCATGCATTATAAATTTCCGTGATATTATCATGTCTGTTATTGGCGCACGTGGCTGTTGACAGCTATTTCGCGCCAAAATCAACCATTTTACACATTTCGTAGTAAGCCATTCCTAATATGGAAGGCGAAGAATTCCATGCGACATCGAGTTTGTGTCACTGTAAAATGGGAATTTCTGTATTGAGCCTTAATATAAAAGACGTAGTTTTAATACGGTTTTAATATGCAGCAATTCAGTAGTGTGTTAAGCAGACAGTAAAAGTCAAAAATTATATGTAATTGTATCAATATAAATTGGATGAAACGACTACCGATTTTTGAAAATGTGAATCGGTTTGAGCTAGAAACCGAATCGACTACGACTAGGGGTTTCAGGTCACGTGACTTTAGCGTGAAATCGGACTCACTCAAATATGACTGAAAAGCACTTATTTTGGTGCCATGCCACGCATTGACTGGTATAGAGCATTTTGATTACATTATTGACGTCGATCTCAGATTTTAAAATTCCCCAACTTTGGATCTAATTAGAATATTTTGATGAAATAAAAAAATTTGGGTAGCATTTTATGTATATTTTCACAAAATATTTTTTAAATTTTTTTTCTGTCATTTGAAACTTTGACCTGAAACCCCTACTACGACTAAACCGATTAATCGTGACAACCCTAACCTAACGTCAATAGGTTGATATGTCCACAAAATTTCCCGATATGTCCACAAAATTTAATAAAAAAAATATCTTGACCGATATGTGCACAAAATTTCCCGATATGTCCACAAAATTTAATAAAAAAAATATCTTGAACGGAATATCATTTATTTTAAAAAATATCTTGAACGGAACATTAATTTGCCATTTGCTCCGGAAACAAATTTGTTTAATTTAATGTTGTATTTACCTGTTGAAGCTGCAGTTTGTAGGTTTTCAGATTCTCTTGTAATTCCTCCGCCATCTTGACGACAAATTCCACACGAATAATCAAGTTCCGGCCTTAAAAGTTAAAAAGAGATAAAATAAATTACACAAAAACAAGAAAATAATGCTTAATTCAACACAGGAAGTTGGTCATAGATGGTTCCGGTCTAAATCAGATTATTCAGCAGCAAAATAATAAGTAAAAGGAAAAGATATACCAGTGAATACTGCATGCAGATTTTCTAATTGTATTAAAATTGATTTACATTTGCAGTACCGGTATTCAATTTATTTTATCTCCAAGTCTTTTCACTTCATCGACGCTTCCCAAATAGTCTGGATTAAAAAGTCGGCCTGTGACCATATACAATTCAATATATAATTTAACGTCTGGGTATTCGCAGCAATTGTCTGGGTTTAATATAAAATCGTAAGTAGTGTAACTGGGGAAAATGTAATATTTATGAATTTAATATATTCTGAGAAGTTTGATTATGTGTGGAAATCATTTGTTTTGTGTAATTTTATTTTATTGATAAAAATGTGTAGATAGAAGGCCCATTTAATAATATGAATTAAGAGAAATGGAAAATATGCATCTGAGTTCTGACACTAACTAACTCAACTGTGTGACTGTCTGCAGTGTGAGTCTGTGTAGTGCATAGAGGTGAATATATTGACAATATAATACACCTCCATGGTGTAGTGTGTGTGTGAATGCCAGTTAAGTCGTCCACACCCGTTGGTGGAGTCGTCCACACCCATTGGTCCACGCGACATAGTTTAAATTTGGGGTGTAGAAATATGTTGGCTAAGTCGTCCATACAAAACTGTCAAAAGTTTACTTTGGGGACACAGAAAATATTCTTAATTACTAGTATAATTTTTTTGTGCCAAGTTCCGTTCATGAATAAAGTTTATAAACAACACAGTAAATCATTTTATTGAATAAATAACAATTTCATAAATATAACAAATGCAATAAATAATCAATAACAATTTCATAAATATAACAAATTCAATAAATAATTAATAACAATTTCATAAATACAACAAATTCAATAACAATTTCATAAATACAACAAATTTATTAAAAAACAATAAACCCCATGCACAAATACATTCCTACACCACTACCACCCAGTTATTCCGTAGTTGAATATTTATGTTTTATCTTCATGAATGCCGGTGAGATGTGCTCTGTCGGATACAAAATACAAGCGTGAGATTATAACTTACTCTTCCAATATTTTATTACAAAAACATTGTTAATACTAATCAAACAATCAAAAATGCTAAAATCATAACACCAATTAACAAACAATACAAGTATACTTTACTTCGTTACAAAACATTGGTGAACTAATAAAAAAAACCCCTGAACTAAAATCATAATGCCGATCTAACATCAAAACAATCAAGGATTAAAAGTTATTTCTTCCATACAATTAACAAACAATACGATTGACTTTATTATAAAAACATTGGTGATTCGATCTAAAATCAAATAACAAAACAGTCAACGAGTACTAACTATTTCTTCCATACAATTAAATTGTGTATGAGTATTAGTATTAGCTGTGGAAGACAGCACCAATAGTTGTGGACAACATCACCAATGCTTTGTGGACGACTCCACCAATGGGTGTGGACGACTCAACTGTGGATGACTTTGCTTGTGGATGACTTGACTGGCAACCATGTGTTTCACTTAGTGAAAGATGAGTTTAAACAGTTCACAGTATGGTATAGTTAATAGAATTTACTGCTTATGATAATTTCTGTCTTTGACTCCAGGCACAGTAATGGATGGTTCTAAGTCCTTTGTTTCAACAGGTTTTGTAATCATATATGATTATAAAATAAATGAATTTCCAATTAACCTGGCGTACAGAATGCTGTAATAATAATAATAGTTTAGGACTGAAATCACCAAGGCTCACGCAAGTACCAGGTGATATTTATTATACAAATCACAGGACTTTTTATTCGCCCACATTTTCATGTGGACGTATATTGTCGTCGGCCCTCTCCGTCCGTCTGTCTGTCCGTCCACAATTTGTTTTTGTGGACACTCTACAGGTCACAGTTTTTATCCGATTTTGACAAAACTTGAAATATAGATCTCCCAAAGATCTCAGTTCCTTTCGATATTGGCATGTATCGGACCATAACTTCATGTATTATGGCCCCTGATTGTACGAAAAATCACGTTTTTATCTTGTGGACATTCTAGAGATCACAATTTTTTATCTGATTTTAATGAAACTAGAAATACATGTTTATAACCCAAAGATCTTGGTTACTTTCAATATTTGCGCACATCGGATCGTAACTTCCTGAATTATGGCCCCTGATTGTACGAAAAATCATGTTTTTAGCTTGTGGTCCCTCTAGAGGTCACAATTATTATCCGATTTAAACAAAAGTTTGAATATATCACCATTGCACCCTAATGATGGTTGAGTCCGAATTGCCTGAAAATTGGACCAAAATTGGACCAAAATTGCCGGACAAAAAGGCCGCCCCTCGTACGCAAATAGTGTAAATATATAGTATATCAAGGTTGTGGACCCCCTAGAGGCCACAATTTTGATCCAATTTTGATGAAACTTGAAATACATGTTTATAACCCATAGATCTTGGTTCATATTGATATTCGTGCATATCAGATTGTAACTTCCTGAATTATTGCCCATGATTGTACGAAAAATCACATTTTTAGCTTGTGGTCCGTCTAAAGGTCACAATTTTTATCACAATGTGATGCATTAGTCTTTGGATATAAACAGATAAAGATTTCCTTAATTTCGGCAAAACAGTAAGTTTATGTGTTCATGTAGATCTACATGTATTACTGATTCTAAACCATTTAAATGTTCGTTCAGTGGAATTGTTTTAAGTTGCTCCCTTATTACGTAGGAAAGTTCATGTAGAACTTACAGATGCCGTCCAAACACCTTCACAGCCATTGAAAAATACAAATAATTAAAATGCTTTGAGAAACAAATACACTACTGAAACACTACTGCAACCATATAAAAGCCAGGGGAAAAAAATGCTGAAAAGCATGTGAATTCCTTGCAGGAGAGGAAGTTGAGACAGCTTCATTTTATGATTAATGGAGATTTTACTTGGGTAATCTTATGACCACTTGTGTACATAAAAAAAAAATGTGGCTTCAAAAACATAAAAAGCATTACCACAAAAGAGAAACTGTTCAGTGACTTTTTAATAGTTCATATACAATGTAAGTGTAATTCATTGTCTGGGTTAAAAGCAAATATTTCAATACAATTTTTATATGTGTTCAAAATTATTCGTTTGAGACTATTTTTAATAGGTGAAAGCATCAATGAATGTACCAATTGTAGCAGAGACAACGACAATGCTAAAATATTGCAGCTATTCACAGTCGTACAAATATATAGCCGAAGAATCCTAGACAAATTTGCCAAAAACTTCTCGGACGAAGACACCCCATGATTTTTATTTGCTAATCTTAGTATACAGAACTTTCTTCATGTATTTTCATGTATATAATACATGTATAGCTTGATGGTGGATGACTGCATTCCTCAGGGTTCCTGCGGTCCTTGAAAATCCTTGAATATCCTTAAATTTAAAATTTCATTTTCAAGGTCTTGAATATCCTTGAATTTCGCGGAAATAGGAAAATATCCTTGAATTTCGCGGAAATAGGAAAATATCCTTGAATTTCAGTTGAGATCCTTAATTTTGTTTCAAATTGTTAATAATAGTAAGTTGATATGAAAATCCCGTTTAGATTAGAAGTTTTATAACGATAGTTGTAATGTTTTGGTTATTTTTAAGATGAAAAGTTGTAACTTTAGGCTAAAAAATGTCCTTGAAAATCCTTGAATTTGACGTATATTTATCCTTGAATATCCTTGAAAAAATGTTTGACGAAGCCGCGGGAACCCTGTTCCTTCACGTTCAATAAAGGCTTCTGCCAATTTCAAAAATGAGAAAAAAGCTCCCGTAAAAAAATTATATTGCAAGAGTAATTCTACATTTTCTTGAATTAAGGAGAGCCAAACTGTATTTATAGCCTTGTTTAATATTCTCTTTATATTATATGTTCTTATGGAAGATACTGCCTTACGTTAGCATTCAAATACAGAATGAAAACGAGGGCGTATGCAATTTAGAAATAAACATAAACTGAGAGTAGTTTATTTGGGAGAGCGATTTAGCTAATTTGCAGGAGTCTTTAACGACCCCGTGAAGGAAAGTTGACATGGTTTGAGAGGAGCAGGAGCGAAAGCGCACTTTAAACATGAAGGACTGTGACCACCAGACACCCTTTTATTTAGGGATAGGGTTAGGGATACACAGATACATGGACAGCAACCATGAATGCCTATTTATCTACGAAAATATTATAAAAGTTGAGATAAGTCTGATGATTTTTGTTTTGGCTACAATACTCTCCTTTTGTTTAATAATGCATTTACGGTCCGAAAGAAATCAATTTCTTTCTTTCTATTTCTGGACTCTTCGACTAATTAGGCTTCATGTAATTTTTTCGCACATTATTATCATTTAATTATGTCAAGCTGATTTTTTAACTTGAGTATGTTACTTGAGACTCTTTCGTGAATGTGGGTTGATGTCCCTGAAATTTTAAACATGAAAATATAAGTACATGTGCAAATTTCTTTTTATCTATCGACGATACACATTTTAACAAAAATCATACCACTTCAAACTTAAATATCAGTTGACTAACTGATGCCATTGGTGAAACTACTGAAATGAAACCTGGCTGTTGAAAAAAAGTGCTTTTAGTAATATTGGCGCAGATGTGAAAGCAAACGTATTTTACAAGCTTATAGAGAAGAAGCATGAATAGACACCTGGTGTGACCGACTCCTAATTTTCAAACAATAAACTTGACATTTGTCTTGGAAAGGCAAGCTTTTGGTTAATCCCCTTACCCCTGAAAAATATTGATGAAGCCAAATTTAAATAGATTGTTTATGAAGAATTTTGGTTGACCGTTTGTCTGAAATTGAGTTGCTGTCATTGTGAATACATGTAATTTTGCTTTCACTGTCCAATTTGTTTGCTTTTACCTCAATTTTCCAAACTGTTATGTTAGAATTTGGGGGGACCGTTGCTCCCCTGGCTCATACGACATACTGTATGCCCATGTCGGTACCAGTACTTCATGTTGTGTAAATTACCTAAATGTATTGTGATAAAAAATGAAATCATTGAAATTAAATGGGATTTAACATACTATTTTATGAACAAGGAAGTCGACATGTACATGACTAGTAGACATCCGTAATTTTCTTTAATAACAATAAATCAATTACAATAAAATGTATGGTGGCTGATAGTGGCCATGTTAAATCTCGCCCTTTTCATAACGCGACAACACGACATCACGACAGTATTGACGCAATCATACGACACTTTATTCTGTCGTATCATCGTGTTATTTTTATCGTAACGTCGAGATGTCGACTTATTGTCCTAGTCTCTTTCTACAAGTCACAAAAATACAGCTGTACTCATTACATCATATATAGGCCTAAGTAGTAGATTTGATAAATATAAAAGAGATAGTAGGAAAACGTTGATTAATTATTTGTTTTCTCAAAATAATGAAACATTTTGTGTCCACAAGTGAATTATATTTGGTATTATATTTAAAAAATCTAGAATTACAATAGCAGGACCAAAGTGAGTTAACTAAGTTAATTCCTTGAAGAAAAAGTGGTGTCGGGAGGTATCACACAAGTAAGCATTCATTGCCATGTGTACGACACCCACCAATATTTATAGATGACTGGAGCGATAGTTTAAAAATGATTTCAGAAGACAGGGTGGGAAGGGGATTGTAAAAAAACCAAATCGGGTCACATTCTTTAAAATCACAGCATTATCATAGTGCAGCACGTCACCCCAATAGTTGCAGGAGTCTTTTTTTTTTTTGAATGAGGTGGAGAAAACGATTCACAGCCTGTCATTGAGTCAACTGGCGTGGTTTTGAATCCCCGGTTGTACGTGACAAGGTGTAGGGTCGCCTGTCAAACCTCGTGGGTTTTCTCCGGGTCCTCCGGTTTCCTCCCACTGCTAAAGACCCCTACGCGCAAACGATTTATTGAAATAAAATTAAACCATATGTTAGTCCCGAAATGACCTAATTTGTGTCGAGTGGACGTTAAACCCCTCTCTCTCTCTCTCTCTCTCTCTCTCTCTCTCTCCCCCATTTGACATCACTAATGGAATTGAGGCCTAGATGAGTAAAAATAGGCCCAGTAATATCTTCAACTATGAACACACTCTAAAAGCCTCATACCCCCCCCCCCCCCCCCACGTCACCCAAATAGATGCAGGAGTTTTTTTATGAGGTGGAGTAAACGATTCGCAGCCGTTATTGACCTTATCGCATATAGGCTTGCATCCGTTTGACATCACTGATGGGATTGGGGCCTAAATGAGTAAAAAAAGGCCAAGTAATATCTTCAACTATGAATACACTCTAAAAGCCTCATACCCCACCCCACGTCTCTTATTTAGTTTTACAAATAATTCCAGAATCAATAAAATGGTATCAATGATGTTTGATACAACTGGAAAATAATATGTCAAAAATTGATTAAACATGAGAAATATTATTACATATTGAATCCGTATCAGTGATAACGTACATTTACTCAATATGTTCCTTCCAATGGATCATCATTTAACATGAAACAAGGAAAGCAGCGATCAAGAAAAAGATTTAAAAACACACACATTTCAATATGACAGTAGTGATTCGGTCATGCATTTACATTCGAGAGTGTCATGCTTTCTTTGAAAGTAATGATTGTGCCAAATTTGAACAAAGTCAGTTTACATTCGCGGCCTATAGGTAGAGTGTTGACAGATCAAACGTACAAAAAAACAAAGAAAAAACCAGACCTATAAAAATAT